TTTTTTCCTTCTCTTTCAGGCTGAAATCATTGATGTGAGTTATGGAAATGCAGATGATTTAAAAAGGATAAAAAATATGAGAAATATAACAAACCAGATTGCACTCCTGAAATTAGGAAAATTGCCACTACTTTATAAGGTTGGTCCAATGGTTATTTTTTGGTGGTGGGATGAATATACATATATTTTTTTTTGCTTTATTGCAGTTATATGCTTCTGTGAGTGTGAAGTGAGTGTGTTGCGTGTGTGTGTGTGTGTGTGTGTGTGTCTGTGTGTGTAAAAGAGGCAGAGAGTGTCACAACAAGATGGCTTTTCCAACACAGAACATTTTAAATTAACATTTTTAAGAAAAAGAGGTGGTTATCCTTATAACTTAATACAGAAGATACTGTAAGCCAAGCATTCGTGAGTTTGTGAGACCTTGATAAAATTGGCATACATTTCATAATGATACCTATCTGGAATACTAAAAATGAGAATAATGGTGTCCTCCTCTTATGACATATGTGAAACTTTTAATTTATTGACAAAACTGACTAATTACTATCGTCTTTATGTTAGACTAGCATCTGGCTGATTTATACTCCTTAGTGATTGGTTTTGTCAACTGTATAACTTCACAGTTACTGACTGTGCTAGGAATTTAATTGAATGGTAATCTGCTTAGGAAAAGCAGATTCTTGATTTACTTATTTAAATAGAAGTTTATTAACACTTATCCACTAGATGCATTTACATAATTAAAGCAGTTTGATCTAAGTATCATATAATGAGCCACCATCGTAGACAGCCACTATTGCTCATTTGTACTTAATTTTCTTTTACTATTAAAAATAATGGTCAGTATAGTTATATCACTGGAACTATCTGGTTCTGAAGATCTATTGGCTTTATCTTCATCCAACCCTAGATGAGCTGTGTTAATTGCCAGGTCTGAAAAAGTTTCAGAAATCTGTTGGCATACTCTGTAAGGAGACAGAGAACACCCTGAGCCTGTTGTTTATTATCTTCCAAGGACGCCCTTACACCTAAGTCAGTGTGTGATAATATATAACTGTCCAGAATTTTAAGATGGTCATGAAAATATAGTATACACTGCTATAAATTTTTACAGGATAACTTGTCAACATGTATTAAATGCTTTAAAATAATCACATTTTGATCCAGTAATTCCAGTTCAATCAATATATTCTAAAGGGGAATAAAACAGAGTTGATAAACACAATGATGACCAGTGATGTGACAGAATATCCAATTAAGTATTAAAATTTATGTTACATTTGTACAGCTGAATACTGTACAATAATTACAATGCAAAGAAGAATAATGATGTGGAAATTCTCATAAATCAAACAAATAAGTTATAAAGAGGACATTTACAATAATAATAATAATAATAATGTTATTCTTATTGTTAGTGCAATATTGTTAATAATATGAGTTGCATATTATTCTAAGGACGTTTTATGTGTTATCACATTAATCTTCACAGTAACTCTATTTTTGAGACAGAATGGTAACTAAGGCAGAAAAAGAATAAGTGACTAGCTCAAAGGTGAAGAGCTACCTACATGAATCAATAAAGATTTACATCCAGTCAGTGTCATTTCATATCCTGAATCTTTAATGTGTATGTATAGGTGTGTGTATGGTGTAGCTAGGGTAGACAGGTAAGTAGATATATGATTATAGATAGATAGATAGATAGATAGATAGATGATAGATAATGAAATAAAGGAAGAAAGAAGATGAAGATGCTAAATTGGAGTTTTTAACTGAGATTTTAATATATAAAAGAATAGACCTTTCAAAATGAGTTACCCAACACCAATATTTCAAACAAAACAGTTGAAAACATGTTAGGCAATTATTAAACCCCTTACTTTTATATGGGGTAGGAAAGGTTTGAAGACTTGGGGGAAAGGATTTTTTGAATATTAATTTTGGAGAAAATCCTTACAATAACAGTATTATGATGTAGGGACTATGGCTATTTTTAATTTATAGATGAGTATCATTAGTCAGTGGTGAAGAAAATAAAACAGAGTTCACTCCTTCTCCAATAACAGACCTGATCTGGTGGAGGGGTAAGAAGATGAATTTCAAGAATAGAATTTTGATCATGGTATCAGAACTAGGCATTCTAATTAGTTACTTATGACAATTGGCTCAAATTAGACTTTTTATTACCAACTAGTGGCTCAGTGCACGAAAATTCGTGCACTTGCGGGGGTCCCTCAGCCCAGCCTGCATCCTCTCGCAGTCTGGGACCCCTCGGGGGCAGTCTGGGAGCCTTGCTCATTACCACCCACCTGCTTGCTACTCCTTACTGCTCAGCTTGCTGCTCCTTAGTGCTGCCTCGTAGGCAGAAGAGGCTCCTGCCACCACCACTGTACTCGTCATGCTTCTGGCTTCTAGTTGAGCGTCACTACCCCTGTGGAAGTGCACTGACCACCAGGAGGAAGCTCCAGAATTGAGCGTCTGCCTCCTGGTGGTCAGTGCACATCATAGCAACCAGTCATCCTGCCGTTTGGTCAATTTGCATATTACCCTTTTATTGTATCAGGTAATCAGACGTTTTCCTCTAAGTGTTTAGGAAAGAATGTTCCTCTCTAGACGTGGATTAAAAGGACTTAAAAGGATGTGGGAAACAAAGTAACACTGTCCTGAGTACATTCCATGAAGTTTGTTTAACCTACCAGAGATAATGGCTAATATGGTGTCAATGGGCAGGGGCCAATTATATAAATTGGGTCCATGAAAATATGAATAATTTCTACTGCTTTATATTTTCCTGAAATTTTAAATGGTTGATAATAGTTTTGCATATAATATTTTGTAAAAAAATATTCAAAAATTAAAGTAAACATAAGGCATTTAAAATTTTGTTCTAACAACACTTATGGGCTAAATAGTCAAAATTCTTACCAGTAGCTAATGGGGTAAGGAAAAAAAATAAATTTCTTTTTATTTGTATTTGACTGATCCAGAGAATATTTTTCAAAAACCATGGCCATATCTATAAGGTAGTGAATTAGTGGTTTATCTAGACTAGGACACAGTTATTAAGAATCTGGTGTATTTTCCCCGATTATCGTCGTTACAGGCCTATAAATAGATTTAACAAAGAGTTCTGTGCAGAATCCCCCCTCCAGACAGAGAGCTTTGTCACAAACTTGGCATTATTTTCTAGGCAGAGGAATCAAGGCATCCTTTCTTTAGCCTTCCATTCTGTTTTCTGTGGCTTCTCCCAGAGATTTGGAAGAATCACTGATATCATAGCTATTAATACATATTCACAAAGTAAAGAGAAATAAAGCATGGATTAGACAAGTTAGTTTATACAGCATGATGACAGCCAAGCTTACTTCACCTGCTCATCAAATATATTCTGGGACTGAAATTTGAAAGTGAGGGAGTTCAGTAATACAGTTAGTTGAAAAGGCAGAGGACGGATTGACTTCTGTGTGAATCACAACTATGAATCATGATTCTAAATGAGCATCTGTACTGGGAACATGCAGCAAAATTAGTAAAGAGAACAGTTAATGTTATTTTAGTTGTACAGTAGTTTCTAAGTCATAGTTCAAAATTGAATTTGGTAGGGAATCTCTGAATCCGAGGCGAGAAGGGCAAAGGAGGAGCACAGTGGGATTTTAATGTCTCCCTAAAATAAGTAGAAAAATAGTTTACACCCAAGATGGAGGGGACCTCATTAGATCCCTTGTAACTACTGTGTACACACTAACTTAGTCTCCAGGAAGGAGGTTCATGAGAAAGTCTCCACATTGTGTAGCAGGGACTGTGAAAGGCACATGGCTTTTAGATACATGCTGCAAAGAAGAGCCAACCAAGTCTCCAGACTACCTTGGACTAGTCCCCTTATGCTTAAACCTTAGAGGGAAGGCTTTATTTTAACTTTGTATTTATAGCAGTTTATTTTATGGGACGGTGCTTTAATTCTGTAAGCTTTAAGACAGAATGTTCTCTTACATGTCATAATGGATTCAGGTAGGTTTCTCTCAGTGACAGTCTGAGACACGGTAAAACAGACTCTATAATCCTCATATATTCCCAAATTGCTGACTACCACTCTAGTATGGAATTTATTTCATAAAATGCAATAAAAGCATTTGGCTTTCTTCTTAAAGCCATTTTCACGTTCAAAAAAATCAATAATAACAAAAAATCACTGTGCACTCCATGACAGCTAGACATCAACTAAATCCCACTGAAATGTGAAGATTAGGCCATTGTCTGTGTCCACACTACTTATCAGCCCCCTATCTCATAGGAGTGGAATTTGTATGTATTGAAGTTACAGTGAATACATGTCTATGCCTTTGGGCATGGTGACATTACACACAAAAATCCACAAATGCTATTGCCATTTTTATAAATGAAATAACATAAACATCTTCCTAGTACTCACTGTTATATAGTAAGACATCAGTAAATATTAGCAGATTTTTGTATTCTTCTTAGATATATTTTATCCTTATAATTACAACATTAATCATCCAGGAACCCAAATATAGTTTTCTATTAATGAAACTGTTTTGCATACATTCATTAGATATTATTTATATTAAATATCTATTGCATATTATATGGGCAGTGTATAACTTACCTAACCTCCACTTAAATCCATAGCATGCTTATATAGGTAGGAATTTTGAAAGAGCATAGAGGAAAATGAGAGGTAGGAAACAACTGTTAGGCTTTTATACTTCTAAATAGATTGTTTCTCACAAATTAGGAATAAATGCTACTACTTAAAGAAAATAAATACCACACACTTTGAGTATACCTACATAATAATATAATTTAATAACATTTACTGACCATTGGAATGTTATGAAGTCATAACAAGTGACATCATCTATTAAAAGGTTGAGTTTTACATATACATAGTCAGCATAAGTAATCCCCATATATTCATGCAATTTTGGCCCCCCAAAATGCTGCAAGGCGCTTTGTTTTTTCTTACTAAAGTTTATAGTATAAGTTAAGAAAGACAAAAAAGAAAGAGACAGAAGATAGAGCATGAGAGAAAAGGAGGAATAGAGGGAAGTAAAGAAGTATTTCAGTCAAGGGTTTGGATTATTTCAGGTGTGATATGGTGTTGAAATTTTAGTT